CACCCACCACCCATACGTCCTAGCTCACCCACCACCCCACCAACCATCCTCACCAACCACCCGTACCCACCTAACACCGTACCCACACCACCGTTAACCAAAAAAAAATGAAAAATTACCACAAAAAATATCTAAACCACAAGAAATATTATCAGAATTTCTCAAAAAAAAATAAAGACAATTCACTATGATAATTACAAATTTCCAATAAATATGTAAACTAACATTACAATTACAAAAATAATTAACTATAATTATAAATGTTCAAAAAACAAAACAAGATCTACAATTTAACCTTAACTAAACCTAGATCTAAAAAAAAAAAACTTCATATGCTCGCGACGGCGGCCGTTATTTCGGTGGTGTTGTTGTTGTGGAGACCTTGACAACCTCGCGCAGTGGTGTTGTTGGAAGGTGGCCGATTATTGCGGTTGATGTTGGTGGTTGTTGCGGTGGTGGCGTTGTAGGCGGTGGTGATGTTGGTGGTTTTGTTGTTGGTGTGAGAAGGAGAAAGAGAAGAGAGGAGAAGTGAGAAGGAGAAGAGAAATGAGGAGGAGAGGAGTTCTCATAGAGAAGAAGAAAATGGCGGAAAGAGGAGAAGAGAGGAAGGAGGAAAGAGGAAAGAGGAAAGAGGAGAGGAGAGAGAAAGAGGAGGAAAATAGGGTTTAGGGTCCGGTTTTTTTTTTTTTATATTCATTTTTTTTTTAATCATAATTCCGTCGGAAATTTCCGACGGATTTTATTTCCGTCGAAACAGTAAATTTCCGACGGAATATTCCGTCGGAATGCCCATATATTCCGACGGAATATAAATCCGCCGGAATTTATAGCATTTCCGACGGAATTTTGTGTCCTTCGGAAGATTTCCATCGGAATCTGGCCTTTTTCTTGTAGTGTTATACTCTATCACGCCCCCTTACACGAGGCCAGTTGGGCTTGAAGTGTGGATGCAGTATGGGCCCTCCTCATACCAAGCGCTTAATATTCCAATTTGAAAGGAGGGGTGTATGAGATTCGAACCCGTGACCTCTGTGTCACGCTGGCTCTGATACCATATTAATGGACCACTTCAACCAATTCAAGCGCATGGTATGAGTAGGACCCATACTGCATCCACACTTCAAGCCCAACTGGCTCTCGTGTGAGGGGCAAGCCGATGGATAATGAAGATATTGTGGACAAGATCCTTCAAGGTCTTGATTATGAAGCATATAAACCGGTCATCGATGCTGTGAATGCTCGGGATACGGATATATCATTTGAAGAGCTCTATGAGAAATTAATTACAAGAGAGATTGTTGCAGACAAGCAACCTACCATGACCTCAATGTTAACTGCTACTGCCATGGCTATGCACATCAAGGGCACTCTTGCCAATACCACCACCAAGCATTGTGGGTCTAGTCCTTCCAATGGCTTGCTTCCAACACCGAGACAGACTACCTCGGCTCGTTCATCCAAGCCATTCTTAGGCATGGTGTCAAGCAATGGGGCATGCCTTGCTCCGTCTTTAAGGCTTCTTTTCCCTCCATTACAGTTCCTGACCCCATTCAACTCGGGCTATTCAACTTGGCCACGTACAACCAGCCGCACCACAAGCAAACATGGCAACAACAAGTTTTCTCTCCGATCATGGTTGGCTCCTTGATAGTGGGGCATCACATCGTGTGACCAATGACCTCAACAATCTCTCTCTCTATGCCCCTTATGATGGCACTGAGGAACTCATAATTGGAAATGGCTCATCCCTCACTATCTAACACTGGTTCATTCTTCCTCTCTACTCCCTCTTATACTTTTAAATTTTCAAATGTCTTACATGTCCCTAGTATCTCTCGTAACATTCTATCTATTTCTCAATTCTGTCAAGAAAATAACACATCCATTGATTTCTTACCCTTTTTTTTTCATGTTAAAGAGCGTTCGAGGGGAACAACAATACTCCAGGGTCCAACTAAGGCGGGGGTGTATGAGTGGAGTCCCAATCCTCATGTCTTCACAAGTCTCAAATTGCCCCTTCACGATTGGCACCATCGGCTTGGGCATCCTTCAAATTCAGTTCTTAAATTTTTAAGCACTAGTTTTTCCCTTTCCATTTTTGATTTTCCTATGTCATTGTGTAATTCTTGCAACATTAATAAAAGTCATAAGTTACCTTTTTCAACTTCTACTCTTACTTCCAGTGCACCCCTTGAACTTATTTTTTTTGATGTATGGACCTCTCCGGTTCACTCTCATGACAATTATAAGTACTACATCATTTTTGTAGACCACTTTACTAGATATAAATGGCTATATCCTCTTAAGAAAAAATCAGATTCATTGGAAATATTTAATCGATTTCGTGGGATAATGGAAAAATATTTTAAGAGGCACATAATACAAGTCTTTTCAGATAATGGGGGGGGGGGGAGGGGGGGGGGGAATATGATAAATTACATCCATATATAGTGTCTAATGGTATTTCATATCTCACATCTCCTCCACATACTCCTGAACACAATGGCTTTGCCGAGAGACGACATAGACATATTGTAGAAACTGCTCTAGCTCTTCTATCTCACGCCAACCTTCCCTTGGATTATTGGACTCATGCCGTGGCCACAGCCACCTATCTTATAAACCGAATGCCTACTCCTACTCTACACAATGACTCTCCCTACCTACGATTGTTTGGTACTCATCCAAACTATCATAAGCTAAAGAATTTTGGATGCTTGTGTTATCCATGGTTACGACCGTATGCAACACATAAACTTGTTAATCGATCTTTACCCTGTATATTTATTGGGTATTCTCCATCTCAAAGTGCTTATTATTGCCTTCATCTTCCTACAAAACGAATTTATACGTCTCGACACGTAAAATTCGTGGAAACTATTTTTCCATATGCTGACATGAGCTCTAAACCACCTCTGCCATCTCCACATATCTTGGAAGAATGGTGTCATTTGAATATACCAATGCTTGAACATCCACCCACAATCATTGAGGAATCTCCTATAACATCACCAATAATCCATGTCAATCCTCCATTACCTACAACAATTACTCCACCGACCCCACCACCAAGAACAATTGTAACTAGATTACTTTTCAAAATAACATTGTGAAACCCAATCCAAAATTTGCTAATCATGCTACTGTTCACACTCCTCCTATCCCTCCTAGTGAGCCCAGAAATATCACACAAGCTCTCAAAGATCCTCAATGGCACCAAGCCATGACAGATGAACATGCTGCCCTTTTACGCAACAACACGTGGGAACTTGTACCAGCTCACACCTCTCAAAATATTGTGGGATGCAAGTGGGTATACCGCTTCAAATATAAACCAGACCACACCATTGAGAGATACAAAGCCCGTTTAGTGGCTAAGGGGTTTCATCAAAGGCCGGGGATTGATTAATCCGAAACATTTAGTCCGGTTATAAAGCCAAACACGGTGCGCCTCATGCTCTCTTTAGCCGTCACAAATGGTTGGTCAATCCGGCAAATGGATATTAATAATGCTTTTCTCCGAGGGCATCTCACTGAGGATGTTTATATGGCGCAACCCCGGGCTTCATTGATAAAGATCAACCCAACCATGTTTGCAAGCTCAAGAAAGCTTTTATGGTCTTAAACAAGACCCTAGTGCTTGGTACCAAGAGCTACGAAACTATTTACTGTCCTATGGGTTTCGTAACTCGGTGTCGATACATCTCTATTCATATATAATCACAACAATACTACATTCTATCTCCTTGTGTATGTTGATGACATTATTGTTATGGGTCCATCTTCTTCCGCACTTCAAGAATTTATCACCTCATTTCCGGCACGGTTCTCACTCAAGGACTTGGGTCAATTATCTTACTTTCTTGGAGTGGAGGTCCTGCCTCACTCTAAAGGCTTGTTTCTAAGTCAAAAGAAGTACATACATGATATACTTGACCGTGCAAAAATGACGGATGCCAAATCAGTACCTACTCCTATGGTTACTCATCCACCACTATCTATTCATGATGGCACACCATTGGAGAATCCAACAAAGTATAGGGCTCTAGTTGGCAGCCTTCAATATCTTTCTCTCACACGTCCAGATGTAGCATTTGCGGTTAATCATCTTTCCCAATACATGCAAGCAATCAAGGTCTGCACTGACCGTCTTGCGGCAATGGGCAGGTGATCGAGACTCTTACATTTCAACAACTGGCTATGTTGTTTACCTTGGTCGAAACCCGCTCTCGTGGAGCTCTAAAAAGCAAAAGAGCTTAGCACGCTCCTCCACAGAAGCTGAGTTTAGAGCAGTAGCTTCCACCACTGCTGAACTACTATGGCTAAGATCCCTCCTTCAAGAATTAAAAGTTGTCATCCGTAATGTCCCAAGTATATATTGTGACAACTTAGGTGCCACACACTACTCTGCAAACCCGGTTTTCCATTCTCGAATGAAACACTTGGCTTTAGCTTTTTATTTTGTTAGAGAAGAAGTACAACGAGGGACACTTCGTGTACAACATATTTCAGGCAATGATTAGCTTGCGGATGCTCTTACTAAGCCACTTGCAAGAACACGCCTCACTGACTTATTCACCAAGATTGGTCTTGCTCAAAGGCCGTCCAACTTAGGGGGGGTATAGAAGGATAATATTGAAAAAATTATCTATATTCTTGTTAATAGCAGAATATGTTAGTCTTCCTTATTATTAGCTATAGGATTATTATTCCTTGTACTTTTCATTTTGATCTTGTTTGTTTTGTCAGTATATGAATTGTATAGCTAATAATCCTATAGCTAATAATAATCCTATAGCTAATTTATTCATATTATTAGCTATAGGATTATTAGCTATACAATTCATATACTGACAAAACAAACAAGATCAAAATGAAAAGAAAAATAAAAGGATGAAGCAGAATATTAACTAGACCAAATTAAAAAAAAAAAAAAAAAAAAAAAAAAATTAAATTTGTCAATGTTAGAGTATTTACAAGTTATGCACAACCTCAAAGACTCAAACGGGCAATTGATTTGCTTCAATCGTAACAACACTAAGAGAAGAACTTTCTTTGCTCGTAAAATGTTTTCGAAACGAAAAAACCTCAGCATTATTTCTTACAAATCTCTCAGATTTACTTCTACTACTTCCTTCAACAATAATCCCACCTCTATAACCAGCCTTTGTGCTACTTTCTCCACTTTTAACCCACAAATTAGTATTCCCTTCCAATTTATTACCATTCATCATAATCTGCTTCCATACCTCCCTAGGCAACCTTAGCGTAAACTTATCCATATGTCCTGTCGATAACGACCTCGATAATGATATGTCTTTGATCATCCCTTGGTTGTTGTCATTGTCGTCTCTAACTTCCAAAATCATGTCGTATTGTGACATATCACGATCCCACAAGTCGGCATTTGTGAGGTTGAACCGGCACACGGGGCAGGTGGCGTGACTTACTAGCCAATCATCAACACATTCGGCATGAAAAACATGGTCACATTTAGGTATTAAACGTAACACGTCTTTATCGTTGTATTCCATTAGGCAAACTGCGCATTCTAGTGTGTTTATTCCGATCATTTTTTTACTTTACTGCCTCATACTCGAACGTTGGGAACCTCTTGACTACGGTGGGATCGAGTCCAAACGAGACCTTAGCCGAATGCCTAAATGATTCAACGAAGTTTATAGGCGTCCAGCGACTCCAATTGCCAATATTGACTAAATGGTCATCTATGCAACAACAAAGATAGATGCAATAAAACGCAATAAACAAGATGATAGAGACCACAGCGACGATGATTATCTCCTTGGGTTGCCTAGAGTGTTCGCGATTGTGTGAGTCTGGTTCGAGCTCAGGCGGACTAGACTGGGCTCGAACACGTTGACTTAGGAGGAGTATGAGGAAGAAGAAGAGGAAAATTATGAAGTTTTTTTTCATGATTGATAGTCAACGGCATTATATTTTAGGGGAAATGCATAAATAGGAGAAAAGGAAATATTTGGATGAAGGCATTTAAGTTATAGCTCTGATGATCAGAGAATAAAGTGAGAAATTTAGATATAAGAGAAGAGTGTTGTAGTTTGAGTTTAGAACTTAAGTTTGGGTGATAATAAAGCTCCATAGTACAAAGTATTTTTTTTTTTTTTTTTTTCAATCGTAGATAAGGAGAAGGACCCCACCAGGTCACCTAGGACGAGTAGCATAAGTCAACATGGTCCGAGTAAGGAGGTTAGGCTCAGTGGAAAGTTTTACCTTCAAAATATATAAACGAAGTCCTTTTCCTTACTTTTAAAAAACCAACATCCTAGTTGTTTTAGAAATAGCAAAATATTTTGGCATGAATATTATATCATTAGCATATTGGCTGAAATGAGAGGGGTTCCATTATTAAACACATACTAAGTAATATTTTTAAAGTATATAGAGAGACAGTAATATATGAGAATGAGGATGGACAATGAAAAGAGCAGGCTGCCCACCCACAGGCCACAAAAACCAAATGATACAATACAATAAAGTCAGAATATACTCTGATTAGAATAATGCTAAAGGTTTAATTTAGCTCTATGTCAAAGTAGAGCACAACCCTATAAGGTCAGATCAATAAATAACAAAGAGGGGGCAAAATTGGTTGTTGGAAACTTGGAACAACACCAACTATATGTCGGGTGCGTTAATTAGCAACACCAACTAAAACCTTTAAGTGAAGCAATGATGCATAAAAGATAATTTCCACTGGACTTATAAAGTCGTTATTGTTTAATTTTGTAACTCTAGTCAATATCATTAAAGATTTATTCAAGAGCCAAATGTAGAGATATTAAGTGAATATTACCAATAATTCCAATGTCTGACATGTGATTTTAGAATGTAATTCTAAGGGATACATTATCATTATTCATTACCCATAAAATAAAGGTAAAAGATTAAAAAAAAAATGACGATTTTGTAAGTCTTATCTATAAAATTGACCACGGTTGTCATATTACGCTAGAAATTTGCACCAATGCAAGTGAATTACTCGACTTTAAGGTTATGAGGTTGAGTGCACCTAATCTATAGTTGGTATTATTCCGATCAATTCATTTTTATTTTTTTTATACTTTTAATTGGGTCAATTTTGGGGTTGACCCACAAATTTGTGGATTTTTTGAATTGGGTTGATTTCAGGTTTCAGGTCGTGAAATTTTCATAGCCCATAACTTTGGACTTGATTTTAATTTTGGGTCAGTTATAACAATTTAACATTTCAACTTATTCTATGAGCAATTTTCATGACCCACAATAAAGGCCTTATTTAGGAAATGTGTATCCAGCCCACTCCAGTTATAAATGGATTTTTGCATTTGAGAAGTGGGCCTGGTCCAAATTTCAACTACGGAGATGGCTCGTTATGTGGCTTTTTAATTGCGGAGTAAACTTGTTAGATTTTGGGTGGAACTTGCGAGACGTAAGTGAAGACTGAGGAGATCACCCTTAACAAAATTATCTCAATTTCCTTGATTGTTCTCTTTCATGCATCTTTCGGTTTCTTAATTTTTTTTTTTTTTTTTTTTTTATAGCTAAAAGATAAAAAGAGCATTACGAATTATAAATAAGGCCATAAGGAAGTAGATAGTCGAACTTGTTATCTATAGTACTTGTACAAATGTCCTCACTTAGTATTCTCCATAAATCCAAAAAAAACACTTCTTTTGACAAGACTAGGTCATGCCTTCATCGGTACATATTTGAACGTTATATTGTATACATTCTCTCTTGTATACATTATGGTTGCAACATGCAATTGACACATAAATTACTACTAGTCAGGTTGCAATATGCAATTGACATATAAGTTACTACTGGTCATTTATTATGTCCTTGGAGTAGTGGTGGGTCATATTCTCATATATATATTCAAGTTATGAGATTTTTAATTTGTTCTTAGGTCTTCGAATCTATATTCAAATACTTTTTTTTTAATACAAGGAATATCATTTTAGTGATACTACCTCCATTTCATATTTTTTGTAACTCTGGGTATTATTTATGAGACATAAAATATTTCAAAGTTGCAAAAAACATGAAACGGAAGTAGTATTATCATGAACACCAATCAACTATAGTCGTACTACTTTTTGAGTTAGAATAATTTACATTTTGTCATAGAAAATGAAAGGGAGAGAAAAGAGCTTAGATTTTGTTTTGTTTTGTCTCTTTTTTTTTTTTAGGAAGAAAAGAGGTAGTACAATATGCAGAAAATATTTAGAATTTATTCATCATAAATACAATTATTTTCCAATTTGTCAATAATCCCTAATTAACTTGTTCATAATATTCGTATTACTATGTCTCATTCTAGATCGTCCAAGTGAACACACATAAAATTTCATTATTCTTAAAAGTAAGTATGATGCTGGGCTGACGGTCGTAGCAATAGAACAAAGGAACAACGAATCAAAAAGGAATGTGAAAAAGATGGATTGATTTGGACCGGCTATATTCCTCTTTCTGTCCGATTAATTAAGGACATCTATTATTTGACCAATTATAGGTAACCAAAGAATTTTATTAACAAATTGATCATGTTGTCCGCCATGTTTATTTGAATAGTCAATGTGAACAATGATACAATATAATAGCAACCCCATACTATTCAATTCTATGACTAAATTCAATTTTAAATACGAGTTAAAATGCATTCAAATTTATAAATATTGTTTTAAATGTAGAGACTTATATTGTGTAGATAATCAAACCTCTGACCTTGGAGATAGGAGGCAAATGAAAACATTACCAGGTCACCTCATAAACCATCACTTCCTTGATCTCTAAATATTTGTTCTATATAATTCATTGTGTGATTCAATTATAATTTAGTAGATATAACTCATGATTAAAGATTAAATTAAATATCAATGACAACACTCATCCTTACAATTACCAAATGACCAATTTATTATACAAATCAAATTCAACTTATCAACTTATCACTAACTATGAGTAAAGAAACAGTAACAACTAAATTTGCAATCATCATACAAAAAATAATCAAGCACAATAGCAGACTCTTGAAGAAGAAGCTTCCAACTTGTTTCTAATTTTGACTTGTTCTATTCATCCAATCTTTTACCTTTGTACAATATTGATCCTTTTTGACCGTGATTGTAAAAAAAAAAAAAAAAATAAACAAAATAGGAAGAATTTTTAGAAAAGAAGAGTATGATGGTTGTCGTATTTGACGAAAGGTAGTGCAGAGTTGAGTCATTTTTGTTGGATTTTTGCGCTGTGAATTGCGGCGTTAAGTTTTATATTTTTAAATTTAATTATGGGATAATGACAAAACCCTGTAATAATTTGGGGGTGATTATTAATTATTTTAAAAATATATAAACATGCTTTTTCTACTAATCTTTGAAATTAAGCACTCGTAATAGGAATTTGGCCAACATATTTTTTTACCTATTATATCATACATACGTGTAGACAATGTGTGGCGTGCAAATGTTTCGTTCACACACTTCCCCATCATTTTACACGTCACTCAGTATATCATTCTTACATAGACTGAGTGTATAATAGAATAATTTACATCCCTACGAAAATTAACCAAAACAAAAATTGCTCACATTTTCCCCAATTAAGTTTTAAATATGGTGAATATTGTTACCTCCACCAAAGCTGTAAAAATAAATAAATTAAAAAGCATGTAAGACTAATTAACTATAAGATAATATTATAATTTACAGGTAAAAAATTGTTAACTTAGACGGGTAACTGAGTCAACTCAGCTTGCATAGCACCACGCAAAGAGCCTTCTCGACTTGTAGTAGTAGTTGTTGTTGTTACATTCTCACGAACAGAACCACGCAAAGAACCACCTCGACTAGTAGGTGTAGTACTAGTAGTACCAACAACTCTAGGGGATTTTACGGACGGCGCCCTAGTAAAAAAGGGCGGCGTCAAAGAAAAAACCCACCGGTCAGACCGACCAAGTACTGGTAGGTCTGAACGGACACTACCGAACCGGCCCTTACTGCTCCCTTCACTGAACCCAGTTCGGTACCCTCGTCTAGAGCTTGTTTCTCTAGGGAGAACTAACAAACTAGTGGTCCTCTCTAGCTTACCACTCACTATTTGCTTCCGTACTTCTGCAGGTAATCTTAGCGTAAATCTCTCCATATCCTCCCACTGTTTTACCGCCACGTGTCCTGTTGAAAATGACCGCGCAAATCTTCCCAACCATCTTGGCCGTCCAAATGAAAGGTTCCTCATCGTACGGCTCCTACCCATTCTCCCATGTAACGGCTGCTCCATTGATTCATTTCCTTCGTTATTGTTTTCATTGTGATCTTCAACTCTGACTTCGTCTACTACCTCTACAACGACGTCGTTTCGGTTTACCTGAACTTGATCATCTCTATTGTCGGTCGCATCAGCGAGGTTGCAACGACAAACGGGACAAGTAGTATGGCCCACAAGCCAAGCATCAATACAATCAGGATGAAACACGTGGTCACACTTAGGTATAAGACGCAAAACATCATCATCCTCG